CTATATTCTTTTTCAATAATAGCCATAAGGGGATGTGGTGACTCATAGCTCGCGACGAAGTAAGGGAATCAGACTCATTAATTCATTCAACATCCCTGAGATCATGAAAGCAGGAGGGAGTCTGACTAGATGGGCCTGAAAGAAAATGCCTCTCCAAGGGCAGGAGGATGGACAAGAACGTCTCAAGGTCACCGAGCAGCCATTTCAATGAGACTTCCTCCAACAGTGAACATGTAGGAATCAGTTAAAGCCTTGCACTACATCAAGTTTGGAACCTACAGAGAACATCTGTAAAGATCAGAAAATGGGAAGGTCGGAGGCAGAGGAAACGGCACAGAGAGGAGCAGCAGGGAAGAGTGGGTGAGGGTCCGGGAGACAGGGCACAGACATCGTGACTGCTGTCTTCTTTTGCAATCTGTGACTCACTCTCCAATTACTGAGCAACCTCTCTGTGCCAGACATCTGCCACGTATCCCAAATCCCCCAGGCTTGCCCTTGATTAATTAAATGGAGGGTAGGTTATCTCTGTCCTCCTACTGGCCCCGGCTGCTTTCCCTGTCTTTAGTCCAGGTTGCTATTTGCCATATCATACGCTGGGAAAGGCTGGGGGCAAAGTCTAGGAACACAATTTCCCTGGCCTCTTCTCTGCTACCCCCCACCAAAAAAAATTTTTTTTTATTTGGGTGAGATTCACATAACATAAAATTAACCATTTTAAAGTGAACGATTCAGTAGTATTTAGCATATTCACGATGGTTTACAACCATCACCTCTATCTAGTTCCAAACATTTTCATCACCCCAAAAGGAGACACAGTACCCATTAGCAGGCACTTCCTATTCCCCCTACTGTGATCCCTACAATCACCAAATCTCTCTGGATTTACTTACTCTGGACATTTCAGGTGAATGGAATCATATAATATGTGGCCTTTTGTGTCTGACTCTTTCACTTAGCCTAGTGTTTTCAAGGCTTATCCACACTATAGAATGTATCAGCACTTTATTCCTTTTCATAGATGAATAATATTTCATTGTAAAGTATATACCACAATTTTTTTTATCCATTCATTCGTTGATGGACATTTGGAATGTGTCTTAGTCCTTTCAGGCTGCTATAACAAATACCACAGACTGGGTGGCTTATAAACAACAGAAATTTATTTCTCACTGCTCCAGAGGTTGGGATATTCAAGGTCAAGGCACCAGCATGGTCACATTCTGTAGAGGGCCCTCTTCCTGGTTCACAGCCAGTGGCTTCTTACTATATCCTCACGTGGTGGAAAGTGCTAGGGAGCACTATGGGATCTCTCTTATTAGAACACTAATTCAATTCACAAGGGCTCCACCCTCATAACCTAAGTACCTCTCAAAGGGCCCACCTTCTAATGCCATCATCTCTGGGGATTAGGGTTTCAACATACGAATTTTGTGGGGACACAAACATTCAGACCATGTTCGGCTGCTTCTACCTTTGACTATTGTGAACAGTGCTGCTATGAACATACTTGTGCATGTACTTGTTTTAGCGCCTATTTTCAATTCTTTTTGATATATATTTACCTAGGAATGGAATTGCTCAGTCATATGACAATCCAGTGTTCAATTTTCTGAGAAACTGCCCAGGTGTTTTCCACAATGGCTGAACCATATTTACATTCCCACCAGCAATGTATGAAGGTTCCAATTTCTCCATATCCTGACCAACACTTTTTGTTTTCCATTATTTTTTATTACAGTCATCCTTATGGGTGTGAAATTGTACCTCATTGTGGTTTGGATTTGTGTTTTCATGTTGAGCATCTTTTCATGTGCTTATTGGCCATTTGTATATTTACCTTGAAGAAAGGCCCATTAAAGTCCTTTGCTCATTTTTTAATTGGGTTGTTTGACTTTTGTTGTTGAGTGGTAAAAGTTGTTTATATATTTTGGATACTAGACCCTTATCAGATATATAATATGTGAATATTTTCTCATTCTGCAGGTTGTCTTTTCACGTTCTTAATAATATCCTTTGATGTACAGAAGTTTTAAATTTTGATGAAGTCCAATTTTTTCTTTTTTCTTTTGTTGCATGTGTCTTTGGTGCCATATCTAAGAATCCTTTGCCAAAACCAAGGTCATGAAGATTTATCCCTATATTTTCTTCTAAGTGTTTTATGGTTTTAGCTCTTATACTTAGGTTTGATCCATTTTGAGTTAATTTTTGTATATGGTATTAGGGAAGGGTCCACCTTCATTCTTTTGTATATGGATGTCCAGTTGCCCCAGCACCATTTGTTGAAGAGACTGTTCCTTCCTTTATTAAATGGTCGTGGCACCCTTGTCAAAATGGCTATATTTGTGCTGGGTAGAAAGATCCTAGGAACCTCATCCTTTGGGCGTCTCTCTTAGGTGCTCCCTTAGGTGTCTACTAATTGCTAAGCCCAGTGAAGAATGAGGCCAGTCCTCGCCCTTGGGGACCTGAGGTCTGGTGGTGATGGGCTCAGTCGCACAGAAAGATCATCTCAGTCACACGTGGAACTGTCACAGTGGAAGTGAGCATTGGGTATTGCAAGATCCTAGATGACAGGCACTCAGCCCAGCTTGGGGGTTCAGAACGGTTTCCAGGAGGAGTGGGTACCTGAGCAGAATCTGTAGGGAGCAGTAAAAGTTGTCCCCTCTGCCCCCCTCAACACCGCAGCATAAGAAACATTATCTCTGTCCCCCAAGATCACAACCACCTAGCCTCTGGGTCCTTCACCAGGCCTCCAGGGCTGGGTGCAGCCCTCAGCCTCACAGGCCAGTCAGTAGTCAGAGGCACACCTGCACTGTGATCCTGGAGGAGGTGATTCCGCAGATACTTCATAGATTCCTCTAAAGGCTATTTCAAGATGAAGGTCCCATCCACTCCCTCACGCCAGCTCCTCTTGCTGGGTCACTTGGAATTTGGTCTTTTGAGAAAGGCAGAGCATCAGTGTTGTGAAGGGCCTTAGTGGGCATTTGGTCCTGGGATTCATGACCCAAGGAGTCCATGGATGGGCTTCAGGGGTCTGGGAACCTCTGAGCACACAGACATAATTAGCTACACTTTCCAGGGGAGAAGGTCCATAGCTTGCATCAGATCTCAAAGGGATTCATGACCCACAAAGTTAAAAACCACTAGTTTGGTCTAAGTGTAATAGGTGACCCAGAGCACTATTTCCAGTCCCCACTGTGATGGCAGCAGTGACATCAGAGGGCAGCATTTGAGCAGAAAGCCCACCAGACTCCTGAGCTCTCATACTTCCCAAGGCTTATTGTACCCTGACACACACAGAGAAGGACCTCCTTAATACATGAAAGGTACAGTGAGGTCAATGGAGGCGGCAGCTTAGGACCAGAGACCCCTCCCTCACAAGGCCCTGTCCCTGTTGATTTAAGGGCTACAGATGCAAGAACTTTGTGGACACATATAACACAAGATGGGTCAGAAAGCTGAGTGCAGGGCTGAATTCTGCCTGCAAAAGCCAAGGGATTTGGAAACTCATTCAGCCCCACTACTGACCAGAAAATCTGAGACACCCCCCACACACCAAAACAAGCACATAAAACCTGCACACAAGCCTCCCGGGATGGTTTCATTTAAATTTCTCTCTAGTAATCTATGTGCCCATCTTTATGGTTAATTGATTAAACTTTCCTCCTCCTCCTCCTCCAGGAAGCCTTCTTTGCTTAGCCCCTTCATTTCGGTCACTTTTCAACATTGCTGCACTAGGCTACCCTTCCCTGATTTGTACGAGTGTGTGGCTTTTCTTGTGTGTCTGTCTCTCCCCTCAGCCTGGGATTACCCCCAAAGCAGCCTGCTTTAGTTGGCCTCCAGCCTCCCAAAAGGTTTGTGCCCATGTGTGAGGTGGGACAGATCATCATTAGAGGTGGGCAATTTGGAGAGATTCACATACTGGCAGGAGTATACTTCTGACATTATTCAAGGGCAGTTTATTAAATATACAGTAAAAATTCAGAGTCCTTGACTAAAAAAAAGGAGAGACCGGGTACTAATATTCTTGGGAATATTTACATCAAGACCCATGACTTCTGGGCTGGAAGGTACCACCAGAGACAGAGCAAATTCCCCTTACTGAACACAGCTGATGGTAACAGGAATTGAGAGTCAGAAACTACTGCAGGACACAGCCTCAGAGAGATGAGCAAAGATAAATCACATACCCACAGTGTCTGATGAAAAGGCAATGTAATTATGCTGCCCTCATCAAAAGAACCATGAAATTGACATTGCCTTTGTTAAAGAGGCAGTGACATGCCATGAAAGGAACATAGACACTGGGGTCAGTCAGGTCTGGGCTCATCTCCTGACCATGGGGCTTCTCGTCTGTCCCAAAGATATTGATTGCATCTGCCTTGCAGGATGGGTGAGAATTAGAGGCAATGCATGTCGGGAGCCTGGCATGTAATAGGTGCTTGATTTACAGTAGTAGCTATTACTGTTAATAAAGGTGGTGGTAGGGATACAAGTCACAGAAGATCCCCAGTTCTCTTTCATTTGGCTTTGTGAATATGGATACAGCTGTTGGTCTGAGAGTATACACATTTTCTCCTAAATAATGGAGTCATTCTGCAAAGATTTCCTTCTCCCCTCCCCTGTCTCCCTCCTAACTCTCTCTCTCCCTCTCCTCTCCCCTCCTCTCCTCTCCTCGCCTCGCCTCGCCTCTCCTCTCCTCCTCTCTCTCTCTCTCTGGATGATCATAGCTTCCCAGGGCCAAGAAGATAATTATAGCTTGTGTCCCTAAGCCCCCCTACCGATTAAAGGCAACAGGGAAAAATGAGAGTCCACAAGGGGGTTGAGGAAACAGGGAGGTGACAGCTCTGATCAGAACTTGACAATAAGATAAGCCACAGTGCAAATGGCTGAGGGTCCTAGGACTGGGGGTGGAGGATTGGGGTGTGGCAGACATGTTCAGGCAAGGTGGTGGCAGTGGCATCTCTTCGCCCAGATGGTGGGGTGAGTGGGGCCGGGGGGGCTTAGCTGGTGGCTTTCCTGGCTGGGGCACTGACTGGGGTGCTCTTGCCTTGAGAGTCCTTGGGGTCTCCCACTCGTGCCCCTTTGATTGTGGTCTGCCCACTTTGGGTGCTGTTGGAGCTGCCCGCCTCACCACTGGCACCAAGGGCGGTACTCGCAGAGGAACCGGGGTGGTAGCTGCTTGCATTGCTGCTGATGATGACGGCTGAGGAGGAAGGGCCAAGAGCAGGGAAGGAGGGCGGCTGGGTCAGTCAGCAAGTGAGATGTCCCCCTAGTTACTACAGCAACCCTCAGCATTGAGAAATACCACAAAGAAGAAAAAAAAAAGAAAAAAGTCTAAAAAAGAAAAACAAAGAAATACCACAAGATGAATCGAGACTCTATGGTGCACCCAGCTTTGTGTGCGATGAGGACCACACAGAACCGACATGTTCCCTACCCTCCTGGAGACTGTAGGACCATTTGGCTCCCAAGGCCACATCCTAAACCCTTTCCCTTGATGACGATGCCCCAGGGGAGAGCCAGAAAGGACATGGCGTGGGCATGACTTCAGTCACTGTTTCCTTTAAAGCCAGAGAACCTTCACAAGACAGTAACAGAGACTCCAGGTGGAGGGGGGACAATGAGTGGAGGTGGCATCGTCTTAGCCTCAGGTACCCAGCTTTCCCATCTAGCCAGAATTCCCACCCCACCTGTCTCTCAGAGATACTCACAGATGCTCACAGAGGACGGATTTTCCCCAGACATCCTGAAAGATGGAAAGTTAGAGAAGAGAGAAAACCTCAGGGAAGTGTCTCGATTCAGCAAAGCCCTGATGGGCTCCTGCTTTTATATGTATATTTTTTTAATTTATTCTTATAACAACCCGTGAGATGGAGCTTATAGTTCCAATTTTACAGGTAAGAAAATAGAGGCACAGAGACATTAAATGATTTACAGGACCATACAGCCAGTGTGTGGCAAAGCCAGTAAGTAATCCCAGGTCTGTCTGTCCCCACTGGCTCTTTTCACAGTACCACCCAACTGCCTGTGCTTCATGGCTCACATCTGACCTCCCCTCGCAGGAAGCTCCCGAATGGCCTCTCATCCCAGCAGGGAGCCACCCACAGCCCCCTTCTCCCTTGGTACTGTGGCATTCCCCGACCCCCAGCCCCTCACCTGCACTCCTCGCCCTCCAGCAGCTTGCGGTAGGTGGCGATCTCCATGTCCAGGGCCAGCTTCAGGCTCATCAGCTCCTGGTACTCGCGCAGCATCCGGGCCAGTTCTTCCTTACCCTGGTGCAGGGCAGCCTCCAGCTCATCCAGCTTGGCCCGAGCATCCTTCAGGGCACAGTTGCCCCGCTGCTCAGCATCAGCGATGGCCGTCTCCAGGTTGGCACACTGAAAGGCAAAGAACACGGAGGTTATCAGAACACAAAATAATGTTTAGAGCTCACAGGGTAGCACAACCCCCTCACTTCACAGACGAGGCCCAAGGTGTCAACAAGAAGTAGCTGCAGAACCCACACCAGAACCTGGGCCTCCTCTATTTTCTATTGCAGAAGGATATTTATAGGAGTTGTGAAAAGCTGTTGGAGCTGTCGCATTTCAGAAATGCAAGCAGACTTCAATGTTTGCAAAGCTGTCTAGTGCCTGGGGTTGGAGGTCACCAATGGCTGTAGGTTCCAAGTACGCCAGGTCCAGAAGAATCATGCTGAGACCCCAGCTAGGACGCCTGTGAGGATCAGATGGCATGCCAAGTGACACTCTGACCAGATTCCTGCCTGCAGGACATCTCCCAGTTGGGAGCCCTTCCTACCTGTCAGCACCAAGAATGAGTGCTTCTGGACTATTCCAGCATTCTGCGGGGGGGCGGGGGGGTCTGTCTAGATGCTCCCCAAGTCTGTCCTGAATGGACAAAGGAGTCTTTCCTTAGAGCAGGAGGTTAAGGGCCTGAAATTAGACCCACAGCCTCAGAAACTAAGCTCTGACGAACATCTAGCAGCCCTGTGATGACAAGTACTAATCGG